GAGGAGGTATGAGTGAGATCTTTTGTTTCTGTAAGCTGTTGAAAGCTCAGGTAAGTTAGTTAGTGATGCTCAGAAAGCATCATTTGGTACCAGCTGTGTTTCCTCCCAAAACCATAATTTAGTGTCTATGCTGTCATTATCTCTTTCCAAAAAGCCTAATTCTCCCTATGTTTAATGAGGTTTAATTTTCAGGAGTCTGAAAGATATCCTCTTTCCCATATGTATGATAACCACCTATAGGAAAGACACCTTCCTCTCTCATGTTTTGCTAGAACGCATTCTAAGAAACCATGATGTCAAGAGAACCTGAATTCAAATCTGACCCCAGACACTTACTGGCTGTGTGACTCTGGGCCAAGTCACTTAACTGCTATTTGCCTCAGTTTCCTTATCTATAAAAAAGGAATGTCAATAGTACTTGCCTCTCAGAGTCGTTGTAAGGATAAATTAAATAATATTTGTAAATCATTTTGCAAACCCTAAAGCACTATATAAATGTTAGCTATTAAAGATGCAAATACCTGAGATGCAAAGTCTCACCATTGTCTTTTTGTGCTGAGCATGAGGAAAACCCTTGTGGACTAGATGGAGAGATATGGGCTAGATGAGAGTAGATGGAGTCAGTACTGGTGCCCTGTGAATTTGTTCTTGACCCCATGCCGTTTAACATTTTTATCAATGACTTGAATAAAGGTTTAGCTAGCTTGCTTATTGGATTTGCAGAAGTCACAAAGGAAGGATAACCAATACATTGGATGACAATCAGAATTTGAAAAGATCAGACAGGCTAGAAACATTGGGTTGAGTCATATAAGATGAAAATTAATAGAGATAAATGTAAAGTCCTACACTCAGATTCAAAAAATCAATTTCTCAGGTACAAGATGGGTGAAATATTGCTCCACAGTGGTTCTGAGATTTCTTCCAACTCTGAAATCCTGTCACTTTGCTGTTCTCAGAATGAACAGGTAAACTTTTAAAGAACTGAGATATTCAGAGAGCATACAGTAGATGTGACAGTATAAATTAGGAGAGGTGGGAAAAGTGCTGTCAGTGTAATGAGACAGAAAAGATAAAGGCTACATTAATAATACTAAGGCTTAAATAATTTACAGTAAACCACTGTTATGGTTAAAAAAATGGGGTATTTGGGTTACATGGATACTGCCAATTTCCCAAGTATTACAATGCAATGAAACACGACACTTAAATTATACTGATCATAATTTAATCTCTTTGATGATTCATAAGGTACATTTGGGATCCTGCAGTGCCTCAGGTGCATACTTTTATATGTTATCAATAGAGAGTACAGTAAAAAACATTCTGGTTATTTAAATTTTCAGGTTGTTCATGTTCCAGACCTACTGGAGGGAATAAGGGAAGGAAATACTCATTCAAATAGTGCCTACTATGCGCTTTTTTTTGAACCAGGGTACTAAAATTTAGATGGTGCTGACGGTGCTCTCAGTTCTAAAGGTTAGAAACAAACAGAACTCAGCAAAGATAATTAGTTAAAATGGGGAACTACCAGGTGGCACTGCTAAGTGCTTTTTTTTTCTTTTTTACAAATACTGTCTCATTTCATCTTCACTGCAACCCTGAGGGGTAGGTACTATTATTATTCCCATTTTACAGTTGACGAAACTGAGGCAAACAGAGGTTAAGTAACTGGCTCAGGGTCACACAGCTAATAAGTATTGGCGGAGGTATTTAATAGGTGGCACAGCTGGCAGAGTGTCTTCCTGGAGTCAGGAAGACCCAAGTTCAAATCTGGCCACAGATACTTACTAATTGTGACCCTGGGCAAGTCATTTAATCCTGTTTACCTCAATTTCCTCATCTATAAAATGAGCTGGAGAAGGAAATGGCAAACCACTCCAGTATCTTTGCCAACACAACCCCAAATGGGGTCATAAAGAGAAGAACACGACTGAAAAAAAGACTAAACAATAATGACTGCCTAACTCCAGGCCCGTTACTCTATGGACTGCTCCACAAGCTGCCCACAATATTGTGTTTACGTGAAGCTAAGGCCCAAGAAGATAGTGCTCATTTTAGGAATGTTTGAAAATGGTTGTTCGTTTTTTGGGGAAAAAAAACAGCCAACAAAATGACATTGCGGTTTTTTCCCCTGGAAGCCTGAGAGCTTTGACATCTAACTTCTTGGTTTAACATTTATTTATCTCTACTCATTAAGAAGTTATGTCGTCAAAAAAAAGTCAAGGAGTAGGTGTGCATTGAGCTATCAAACACAGACGTATTGCCACATCTATTTCAGTAGATCCATTTATAGAACTCAAGATGATGTAGGATGCTTTAAAATTTTAATTGCCACCTATTTGAGACAACCTCATTTCCCACCAGTTTGAGTGGAGACTAAGTTATGTAGGTCTTCCTAATGAGTAGGTAAGCCTTTATAGATTTTTCCCTAAGCCCCACTACACACTGAGCTTACGTGTTTCCTACTGCCCCCTCTAACCACCCTCACTGCACCCTCCCCTCCCCTGCAATTTTGGTTCTATTATTTTGGTTTTAGTGCTCTTAACCGCTGGTCTTTATTTTGGGGTCAAAGAAATAATAGCACAAAGCATTATTTGGGAGACAATCAGTTTTTATCATTTCTGGGCTTTCCTGTTTCCCTTAGCATCATATGTTACTTGGCTTTCTCTCTTCTTACCTCCCCTAACCTATAGTTTTTCAAATCAAATGGTTCAAGTTCATAGCTCCCTACTGTTCTTATTCTATTCCTCAATATTGTCGTTACTTTCTTTGTGCCTGCCTTCCCAATGAAGTAATGCAAAATCCTTATAAGCAGCAAGCATGGTGAACCAATTTTTTTTTTTTTTTGTAATAGAATGCCTGAAATCTCTCTTAGCCAAAAGCACTCTTTCAGCCCACAGGTGTTACAATGTGTGTAGACAGAGAATGTTACAAGCAGGGCCATGAGCAGCGATTTTTGTGCCTCAGGTAAGTGGCATGAAACAAATCCTCGGTTCAGTTGGCCTGGGGAGGAGGTGGAAACTCCAGAACACTGCAAGACTGCTGAGGTAGACATAGTGTAGGAAGGAGTGGGAATGCCAGGCTAAGGGAGAGCTCACCTGTGTGGCTGCTGGGGAGGAAGTAGTGCCACCTGGTAGTTTCCCATTTTAACTAATTATCTTTGCTGAGTTCTGTTTGTTTTTAACCTTTAGAACTGAGAGCACTGTCAGTACCATCTAAATTTTAGCATCCTGGTTCAAAACTCCAGTTGCTCAGCCCTAGTTATAGTTCTGACCAAAAGTTTCAAGTCTTTACAATATTTAAATTCCTGTAGGTTAAATTAAATATTGCCTTCATGTATTCATATCTTTTTGGATATTTTTATGAGCTCCTTATCTGTAAAATATATACATGTCTTTATATTCATGTTCTATGTATATGCAAGCAAATTTCCTTTGATATAGTTAGACTAGAATTATGTAGGAATATCATAGATTTACTGAGACATGTTGTTTTGCCACCTCTCTGAAATGTGTGTGATGGATGCTTTATGTATAATGCTTAAGGATCTCAATGGGATCCACCTCACCAGCATGGTTACTGTGCAGTTTTATCAAAATGAATAGAACAAATTACAAATTGGGATTCAACCCAAGGAAAACAGAGAGCAAGATAGCCCAGCTTGTACCTGCTCTGCCCTCATCAATTTGTTGCCAATTATCCTAAGAGTCATCGGCTAATCTGTGATTTGTACAAAAGATGAGATAAAGCTTACAGGTAAAGGAATCAGGACAAAGTTGGATAATCTCCACCGCGCAGGTCAGGTAAATTCATGTAATATGAAGCTATCTGTCAGAATTTCTGAGAGTGACCATGGCCCACCTTTTCCTACCTCTCTGAGGTCTGAGAGTCCAAATAGATCTCCATAAGTCTCTCCGGGAAAATATTGGATGAATCTTTGCAGTATCATAGACCTAGAAAGAGTTTTCAAGGTTGCTAATCTAGTTCTCTGCACAATTCAGGAATACCTCCTACAAGCATCTCTGACAGCTGGTCATCTAGCCTTCATTTGAATACCCCCAGGAATAGGGAGGGGGAGAGTAATTACTCCATGAAGCAACATATTCCATCACTGAACAACTCTAACTGTTAAAAAGGTCTTTCTTAGGTTGATCGAAAAGCTGCCTTCCTGTAGCTTCCACTCATGGGTCATAGTTCTGGCCCTTGGAGGAAAAGTATAGAGTGAGTACAACAGGGAAAGGGAGGCGTGAAGTAAAAAGAGGAAGCATTGAAGACATGTGAAAAAGACAGTCATCGGAACAGGTGCTTTGCATTTGCATAGTGCTAGATAATCTGTTTCCTTCTAGTTCTAAGATTCTATTACTGAACATAGCATCGTTTCATGCTTTATATTTTTTCAAAGAGATTTGACATACAACCCATTTGAATCTCATGACAACTCTGCAGTATCTACCAAGAGGGTTGATAGCATTATCTGCATTTTATAAATAATCATGCCTTAAGGTTTACAGAGAGTTATGCCTACAGTGTCTTATTTGATCCTTGCAAACAACCCCATGATGAAGGGGTCTTTCCATAGTAGCTGGAAGAGATCTCAGAAGCCACGGAGTCGGACTTCCTCATTTTACACATTAGGAAACGGAGGCCTAGGGAGGTTAATGAGATGGCATAGGTAGTAGGTGTTTGTTATATTTGCTCTTTCTACTGTACCATGGAAGTATGTGTGTTAGCACCCACGTTTTATAGAGTAGAAAACTAAGATTCAAAGAGTGATGTGCCCAAGGCCATCTGGCCAACATGTGACAAAGCTTGGATTCAAATGTAGGTCTTCTGACTTCATTTTAGTGTTCTTTCCCTTTCATCACACTCAGAATAAATGAATGAGTTGCCTGGGGTTGCATAGGATGTTACCACCAGAGCTAGTCTGAGCCCTGGGATCTGCCAATTCTTCCTCTGGCACGCTTTCTTCTGAACACCTGCAGAACATTTGTACTCACCCTTTCACTCCCATATGCCAATATGGCGGCTGTCAGGTCTTTGAGCGTGTGCAGAACAACACCTGATTTCTTCTTTTGGCGATGGTAGGAATGGGGTCCTTTTTTTCTTTCTTCTTGTTTCCATGATGGCTCAGCAAAGTCTTCTGAGTAAAGAATTAAGACCCCCTTTCTGGTGCTATAAGTTTTAGGAAGGGATCCCCATGTAACTTGCTCCCTATTCTGGGGCTTGCCGATCAGGGCTTTGTCTTGGGGTGTCCAGTTCAAATAATCCTATAAAGAAAAGCAACAACCACCAGGATACAGCCTCTTTAAATAACCATCTTGGATGGCATCACAGAGGGCATGCATTTGCATAATGTTTGATGTTTTCCTGACCGTGATCTGTTCTTGTTAACTCTGCCTAATATCCGAAGTCTCGATATAATCCATGAAACCAAAGTTGCTCCTTACTGCCCACAATTAGTAAGCAGAACAGCTAGAATTCTAACCCACATAACTTTTAAGTAAGCTATTCACCCTAGTAGACTTTAGTAGCAATAATGTGGGTTGAGAGGCAAGCAATATGGAGTAGTAGATTGAGAACTGACCGTGATGGCAGGAACACCTGGGTTCTAGTACTGTCTCTGACAAATACTGGCTGTGTAATCTTGGGTGAATTGCTTAACTTCTCAATGCTCTAGGCAAACTCTCTAAGCCAATAAGCCACAGTGATGGTGACCTGCATTGCGAGAAGTTTCCTCACCTGAAGAGTTCCCTACACCAGTGAAATCACAGATTTAGTCCCTCTCCCTATCCCCTAAATGTGGGCTACATATCTGATGGAAGGTCATTGGTAAGCCAGTTCTTTGGCTTGGTGGTCAGCAGGTAACTTGAAATTGATCTCAACCATCAGGATGTTTAAATAGTAGAGTTCTCCATTCTTACCACCCTCTCTAACTAGAACTCTAAGCCATCTCTAACCATCCAGCCAGAATGAAGCTCCATACATCCTCCAGATGTCATATAGCTTTATCTATTTATCTATCTATTTATGGTTATATAGCTTTATCTATTCTGCCTCTATAGGATGTAGTAAAGGCCTTCTGTATATATCTTGTTGGTGAATCTATATACTACCATCAACCATGAAAGTGCTCTACAACATGGGCTTCTAAGCCTAGACAGGACAAATGCCAATATAATGAACACCATTGCAGCTGAAATCTCTTCATGACATAAGACTTTCCAAGGCCTCTCTAGTGTCTCATTTGTTTTCTGGTGGTATCTAATTCAACAAAATTCCAGCCTAGCAAGGAATCTGGTCATCTCCCCATCTCCATCCCCATCTTAAATTTGTTGTTGTAAAATGTTACCTGCATTAAATGTTGGCTATGACCAAGAGCCCCAGAATATCAGAGAATTTCACAAGTTGTTGCACAGACGCATACCCACTCAGCTACAATAGCATACCCTGTTCTGAAAACCTATATGGAAATTCTGATCTTGGACCCAGTCCTCTTCATTTTCAGTTCCTTAGCCCAGCCACGCTAACCTGATAACAGCAGGGGAGTAGGTTGGGGAAGGTGGATGGGGAACCCTCCTGTGGTAACTCTCATTCTGCTAGGCAAAGTAAATAACCTCACAGATTTTCCCGAAAAGAGGAACAGACACAAGAATGACCACCACACCAGGAGCCATGAAATCTGGAGACCAAAAGGACAGCCTGTTCTCCTCCCATCCCCAAATGTACTAGGCTAACAGCTGCGAGACTGACCTCCGGTTCCAAGAAGACCTCCAGCCTCTTCTGTTTGCTCTGGACCACTTGCCCATTTCCACGGCTCAGGAGGGACAGAGTGAACATGTTTCATTGACAGCCCCTTCTTTTCAGAAGTCATTCATCTTGCTTTGGAAGGCTAAAGTGCTTACACCTTAAAGCTTCGTTGGGTCAGCAGGGAGCCCCCAGACTTCACACACCGGACCTTTTATTAGATGCATTTTTCCCCTCTTACAACAGCTTCTTAATGACACCCTGCTCCACAATTTATACAGTGTGGGTCTTTGTCAGAAACAGAACTCCCCAGACCCTTCCAATCCCAAACCTTCCATCCCTCCCAACAGACTCTTCCTCTCCTGCCTACTACACGGACTTGTTGATGTTCTGAGCTGGTTGCTTTGCTACGGGATTCGTGCATCCAGAGATTCATGAAACACCACCATCCTCTTTGTGCACAAAGGTTGTTTCCCAGTTGCCATGGCAGCAAAGGGAAATTAAGTCCCTTAAATCAGCATGGGAAAGCAAAATAGTAACCAAGAGCTCCCTCAAGGGAGAGCAAGGACGCTGAATGGGCCAAGCTCCAATTTCAAGCCCTTCTTACGGAGCTCATCTTACGTTTATAGACCCACCCAAATCCCAGCATGTGAGTGTGCTGCTCTCAACTAACGATTAACTGGCTCATAACAATTTTACATGGGTCACCCAGTTCAAACCCCGCCCCTTTGATGTTTCTCTTGATTGGACTCTGGTATCCCCAGTCTGGACTCACGGAGTCAGTTTCATTTGTTACTGTTTTAGGGGCTCTTGTGTGTGCATGTGTGTGGTTTGCATGGTGAGTGTACGGGCAAGTATATGGCTTTGCTAAATTCCTTTGCAAACATGCTCATACTCCTATAAAGCCATATTCTTTATTCTAGGGGCAAGGTTGTTGTTAACAGGCTCGTGATTGATACTGCTTGGTTTGCCTCAACTCTCTCGAAACGGCAAAAGGGGAGCAGACAAAAGTCACTTGGGTGAAGTGTGGTCCCTGGACTTGTGGTACCCTCACTTCGGCCTTGACACCACCCATCCCTCTCATCCATAAGTGGTCTTTCCCCATTTTTCTTATAGGCGTGCCCCCCTGCCGACTTTCACAAAGGTGTACAGCGGGCAACAGTCCTGTTTACTTTCAAGCTCATTTTAAACAGGGCTTTTCACAGAAGGCAGCCTTGATGTGCTTTATACAAACAACAGTAGGTAGCAGACAGAACAAATGAGGCCTCAGTAGAGGCCCATCTAGCTTTCTGAGCAGACAGAACTAGCTTAGTTCACAGTACTGAGTTATTAGGAGACGTGAGCAAAAACTCAATTTCCCGGGCTTCATTTTCTTCATCTGGAAAATGAGCATCGAGGACTGGAGGACCCCCACTTTAGACTCTATGATCTTATGTTTCATATTTCTGTGCTTTATAGAAAAGAATGGATTTGGATATTAAAGCAAGGAAAAAGGGATAAAGCAGGACAAGGAATGAAGATCCAGGAAAACAAAGAGGTTTTGCTGCTGACGGGTATATTTAATAAAGGAAGAATCTGGGCTATTAGGGTAGATCACAGGACCATAGATTTAGAGCTGGGAGGGACCTCAGATATCATCTAGTTCTGAATTCCAGAAAGGTTCATTCAATTCAATTCACTTCAATCAACATTTATTAAACACCTACTGATGTGCCAGGCACAGTGCTAAATACTGGGTTAAGCAACTTGTCCAAGGTCACATAGGTAATAAATAACAGTGATGTGATTTGAACCCAGGTTCTCTGATTCCAGAGCTCAAATGTTCTACCTACTGTATCACACTGCCTCTTTCCAGGAGATCGGGTCTTTTCCTTTACCTTTTGTTCTAGCTCAAGCCTAGTTCTTGTTAAACTTATTTGAATGTTAAGCCAAAGGGGAACCTAGGAATTTCTAACCTTAAGTTAGATAGTTGTCTGATTCAGAGGCATGTGATCATCATCCTAGATATAGGAACTGAAAAACTTAACCTGGGGGCATTCTGCTTGACTTTTGTTGTTAGTTAGCTAGTTTGTTAGTTATGTTGGAACTATTTACCTGTCCTTATGAGGTTTAGCTACCTGGAGCTGGCAAAGCTAAAGAGTTGGCGGGTAGGTGGTCTTGAAAAGATGAGGCCCAGAAGCTGATAGCAGGGAGCAATGACCAGCAGGGATGACGTGTTCAGCAACCACAATGGCAGCTACAATGAGATCATCAGATCAATGGCCAGCAGAGACCAGGCTCAGTGTGGAGCAGGCTCAGAAAGGACAGTGCCATGACAGCACCAGAAGAGGAGTGGTCCTGTGGTGTCAGAGGCAGGAGGTGATTCTCCACATGGATCTCTGGTCATGTGTGTTCTTTACCCCGGGTTCATTTGTGTGTGCTCTGGCCATACCTGTTCTTTATATGTGCATACCTCATGAATGATCCCTATGTCTGCTCCTTCTTCCCACTAATGATGTATATTTTTGTGGGGAAGTACTCCAGGTTTATTTATTATGGGAGGAAGATGTTCCATTGATACTTTTAAAAAGCCCATTTTACTATTTTTTATTAAATGACTTTTCATTGAATTAGTTTTGACCTCTGGCTATTAAAAAAGAAAAGTAAACACATTAGTGGGGGATGGTGAAGTGAGTTCTCGACTGGAGGTATTCCCACAGAGTGACTTGAACCTATTGTAGCTATCTTAGGGGGCCCCATCTGTTGCAAGAAAATGGGAAGGAAAATAAAGAAAAGAAAGAGGGAGAGGAGATGGAGGCTGAAAAGACAATACTTAGACTCAAGCAAGTCTTAAATGCTTTAATTATGGAATAAGAAGAAAGTGATCAAAGATCATAGATCCAGAGGTGGAAGGGACCTAAGGTATCATTGGGTCCAACCCATTCATGTTATAAATGAGGAAACTGAGGCTCGGAGAGGGTGAGTGACTTGCCTGAGGTCCCACAGTTGGTAAGTACCTGACTGATGGAGGATTTGAATCCAAATCCAAAGGACTCCAACAGTTAGTTATTCAACAAAAATTTCCAGTCGTAGTGTTAAATACTGGGGATAAAAAGAAAGGCAAAAAACACCCAGTCCCTGTTTTCAGAGACCTCACAGTCACTGGAGCAGACAGTGTGTAAACAACTATGTACAAATAAGATACATATAGAATGAATTGGAGATGATCACAGAAGGAAAGAACTAGAATTTTGGGTGTTAGGGAAAGGCATCTTGTAAAAGGTGGAATTTTAGCCAGACTTGAAGGAAGTCAGGAAGCCAGGAGGTGGAAATGAAGAGGAAGAGAATTCCAGACATGGGGGACAACCTCTGAAAACACATAGTCAGAAGATGAAGTTTTGTATTTGAGGAGGACAGTGTCACTGCATCTCAGAAAATAGAGCTCTATCCATTATGTCACACTGTCTCACTCTAATCAAAATTAAAGGTGGCACTACCTCACTGCCACGGTTCATACCATGGACCATATATGTCTAGTCTGACTCCTTTATTTTTCAGGAAACTAAAGCTCAGAGAGACTAAGTGATTTATCCAAGGTGACAAAAGGAGGATTTGAACTCAGGTCCTCTGCCTTCAAAGTCAGTACTGTTTCCACTCTAGCATGCTGGATCAGGGTAAGGCTAGCATCAGAATTAGATACATCTATCCAAAGGGTTAGATTCCCCCCTGTGTAGTGTGCAGTGACAGACCACTGTTGCTTTCTTCTCTTCTCACCCCTCAGAAATTCTCCTCTTAGCCCATTAGCCTTTCCAGGTGTGACTTGGTTTCAATTTGGAGAAGAGAAATGTGTTTTCATCTTGAACCCCCTAGCAGTGTAGCCTCTACTCACAGACTAAACAAATCAGCAGAACTTAAAACAATAAAGCATTTACTTGAACTATAGCAACCAAACAAAACTAACAGGAAAACTCATGAAATAAAATCATTCTTAACTTGGAGGCAGCATGGTACTGAAGAAAGAATACTAGATCTGGAATCCAAAGACTTGGGTTTAAATCCTGGCTTTGTCTCTTACGCTCCGTGTGACCTTGGCCATGACACAGCCTCTCTGGATCTGTTTCCTCTTCCATAAAATTAAAGGGTGGGGCTAAATGCCCTCTAAATTTCCTTCCAGTTCTAAATCTTTGACTTACCTCATAAACTAATGGAAAATAATCCCCCCAGCACAGACTTGTGTGGGAAACTCACACAAAGAGGCCTCTAGAATGAGGGCTGCCTTGAGTTGCTACAAGAATAGCTCTTTAGGCAACAGCTTGGCTCCTTTCACTATCATTGGGTCTCTCTGTCTGTCTCTGACACTATCAATCACAGCTACCTCCGTCTCAGTAGCCATAGTTCGGTTCTAAATCCATGTCTCTGTCATCCATCACTGAAGCACACATATCCTCCATAGCTCCATCCCAAAGCCATCACCTCAAACTGTTTTTGCTGCTGTTCCAAGAAGCTTTGTCCTGTTTCTTCTTTCTAGGACCTGGGATGAGAAGTAAGACATGTCCTTGTTGTTTTTCCATAGGATCTCTAGCCCTAACTCTTAGCTAGGTTAGGAAAAGTGACTTTCTTTTATTTCTTCCCTAGTTCCGACTAGTAGTATATCTCCCCTTTACTGTTCATACCTCATCTTGTGATTTTCTGACACTTGAGATAAACATATGCAATCTTTTTCTTTATTATTTCTGACTCCCATCATGCTTTGCCATGCAAATTCTCTTATGTCTCAAGGTGATACCGAAACACTCATGACAGGGAATAAACATTTAGGGAGTCTTTTGCTGGCATGCCTGCGATCACAGCAATGTCCCTATTCTCTTTATAAAGGAAGAAGTCAAACTGACTACAGCTGTGGTCTGTATTTCCCCCTGGGTTTAATTGATTTATCAAAGAAAGCAGAGATGACTTCTCTCAGCAAGGTCTTTGGGTGGCATACCCAAGGGAAAACGTTAGTGTAAGCTGAAAAGAGCCAAATTTAACAAAACTTCTCATCACTAAGGTCTATCCAAAAGTAGAATAAATTCCCCCTCACTTGGGGTCTTCAAATAAATACTGAATGATAACTC